TCCCAGATGGAAAAGACGTTACCACTACATCCGTATTTGATTTTCTGGGGGGAAAAGAAATCTGTATTTCCCTCATGCTTCAGCCCTTATTATTAAGCGTATGACTTTACGTTTGCAACTCATTCAGACTGCTCTTGGGGGAGGGGGATGGCTTCAGAAATAAAGTAACCCAAGAAGCTGACTCCATAATTCAGTGGTGAAATTCTCTACCAACAGAACTCTTGACTGTGTGCTTGCAGCACAAACACTGGCCTGCAGACTCGAGATCTTTGTCACAATGAATGAACGGGGGCTGGGAGGATGACTGTTTAGGATTGCTTTCTGCATTTGTCGATTACAGTAGCCCTAAACACTTAGTTTAGACAAACGTTGTTTTTGGAATGAAAGAAATCCTAAATATTTGCATAAATAAACTGTAAATAAGTGTTGCCTTATTGACACTGAAAAGTCCCATTACTTTTGCAAAATGGTTGATTATATTGGCACAAGATGCTTTGAAATGTAGGCCCATTTCAAAAAGAATAAATCTAACATAAAGAGAAGCATCATAGAAATAGCATGTGTTCCTAGATCCATCAGCAATGACTTTGGTCCCCTTCATAGGTTCTGTGCCTCCGACACGGGACACCATCACTAAGTTCAAACTTCTCTCACCTTTTTAACCCTGTCCTAATGAAGTCACGAATATTCAAAATGCAACCTTCCTGAAAAACGTTGGAATTTCTAAATACAACCATGTAAATGCCAGTGCGAAGAAACCCTCAAGGATCTAGTCTCTTTTCCCACAAAGGTATACTTTCTCTTACATTTAGATGAGCTATAAGTTCAGCAAACATGCCATCAAATACCATGTATTTGCGATTTGTATTTAAAGGTAAGATCTAATTGTCAAATAGGTATACAGCAATGAAAGATGTGTGTAGATTAGGTGACATCACACACAGACAGAGCTACCAAGAAATAAGAAAGTCCTTGAGAGCAGAAACTGCTAGACTCAAATGACCCTAAAGAGGGTCAAAGCACACCCCCACATGCCGCCCCTTCTTCCCTCTTCTCCCAACCCCCTACCAAGGGAAGCCTGATCCCGTGGCAAGCCTACAGATCCAGTGTTTGTGGAAATGTCCTCCTCATAGGCATTCTGAAATTCCAACAAAAACACCTGAGAAAGGCCATTTCCCACTTCCTTTTCTCAGCATCATGTCATCAAATGGGGTAACACAACTCGAGGGTTAAAGTAGAACAGGAAAGTCTAATGTTTTGTTCGGGTCATTTGTCTGAGGTTTGGATGGCAACTCACGGCCATCTTCTGACTCAGCCTTCAAGCGCCGAGATTACAGGTAGAAGCCATAGTGCCTGATTCAACAGTTTATTTGAACGATGGCATTTTAAAGAAAACTTTGCTGAACAGAAACGCGTACTCTGCCTCTGACCAGCAACCAAATTCCATGGGATCAGATGGCAAATGGCTTATTTATTTATTTATAAAAGAATAAAGAAGCTTAAGGAGAGTCCTCTAAATTCATCTCCAAATAGTGGTGCATCACCTCTGTATAATGTATAATATATAATGTACAATGCCCTTAATGTCCACGTCTTTAAATGGGACTTTATCTTACCACTCGTAGAATAGTGTCAAACACTACAAGATGCCAAGTCAGTCCTGGTCAGGATCCCCCTTCCTCAGAGATGCAGGCGGAAAACTCAATGTCTGAAATTCTCCAGTGAAATACTATCTTGAGTCTCCACCAGAAATTAAATGTCCATGAACTGGGTGGCCGCAGTAATACCTGTTTCTGAGTGTTGCGGTCTAGTGAGGAGATCTGCCTGTTTCTGAACATAAGCTTGTGGAGAGCTGATAGGCCCTATAAAAGGTCATTATGAATGTTTTTTTTTTCCTTAAGAAAGTCACGGCTGATCCAAAGAATATCTCAAAAACTCAAAACCAGACCAAAGAGGATTCCGTGTTCTTGTGTTTCTCCCCTGGCAAGATCAGAACCTATTCACTTCAGGACTAAAATAATTTTAAAAAAATAAAAAATAAATAAAAACAATAATAATTAAAAAAAAAAAAAAGCCTTCACCAGGGCAGGTCAAGATAGCACTTGCCATTCAGCAACCCAAGCAGACTTGTCACTACTCGCTTTACCCAAAAGCCTTTCACGCAAATGTCCAGCCAGACAAAAGCCTGTTTGCCTACTGCTTTTGTGTGCTATAGCAGGAAGCAGTTGTCAGCCACAGACAGCTGCGTTAGTGAAAAATAACAACCACGGACGCCGAGACACGCGCCACAATGTTCCTGCGGAAATCAAACTCTGAGAAATTTTTTAAATGTTTTCAACACATCAGCGTGAAGCATCGACCTAGTTGGAATCACTTAGATCTGAAGCAAATGCGCTGATTGTTTTCACAGCAGGCTTTTCTTCTCGGAGGCAGAGCAAGAGCAGGCGCTGGCGGCTGGCGCGCGAGGGCTGCATGGAAAGGTTTCCAGCCCCCTGCCTCTGGAGGCTGTCGCCTGTGACAGGATCAATACCAGGGTGAGCGGCCCAGGAAGCTGACGGAAGATTATGAAGATGAGGTGAGCTGTGGAATTACCCTACAGGCTCTGCTCTTTCCCTGACCTCGAATCTCATCAGCCTCGGACGTAGATGGAAAACCATCAGGACAGAGACTGAAAAAGAGAGGAGGACCGGCCGAGTGGTGTGAGGCAGCGCCCGTGCAGAGCCTGGCTGTCGGGTGGCTGCATGTTGTGGTCTCAGAGGGCAAGCTCTGTGGCAAGGTGAGGTGGCATCTTGACCAGCAAGAAGGTTGCCATGCCTCGCCAGCAAAGCAGGTGTGCAGTAACTGGTAACACCTTCTTTAGTAGGTTTTCATTACAGTGAGGACGATTCCTCTTCTACTTTTGGACCCAGACAAGTAGCATTTCTGTAAGTAATCTGCACAAAGTACCATGGAGAGGAGGAAATGCAACCCGAAGGCCCATCATCTGTCTGATGGGATCTTGCTGGCCCCAAACTACACAGCTCAGTTCCCCTTCCGGTAGAGCCCCAGTTTATCCCCTGGGCATCCTGGATCTGGGCTGGAGCAGTGGATCAGGGGACGCCATTCTCATTCCAAGTGACCAGTACACACACTTGAAGGAACTTCTTATTCCTACTAGTCTGAACTGTTCCAGCTAACTGAGCGTTCTGGAGATGTGTCTCATAATCAATGAATGGTGTCAGGTCCACATTAAAATAGCTACACAATCTAACAATGGAGCATAAAGCCCGAGACTTCTCTGGATTTCTCTAAAGACTGTACAACATACAATCACAATATATAAGAGGCATCCAAGAAATTCAAGGTTATTTTTAAGTCTGTTTGCATAAGTCCTTGGATGAGCAAAGAAGAGAGTATAAGTTAGTCCTTGTAGGTATTAAATCTACAATCCCTTAAATCTGGAAATTGCCACCACCACCACCAAGGTTAGCTATTTATTTCTACACACACACACACACACACTCAAACCTATACACACACATTTAAAATAATAAATACAACTTTAAAAAGTGTGTGTGTGTATATAGGGGTGTGTGTATAGGGGTGTGTGTGTATAGGGGAGTGTGTGTGCGTGTGTAGGGGTGTGTGTGTGTGTGTGTGTGTGTGTGTGTGTGTGTGTGTGTGTGTTGTATGCTTGTATGTACTTCTTTTGTTCCTTGTGCCTGTGGAGGCCAGAAGAGGGTGCCAAATCACGGAGCTGCAGTTCAGGATATTGTGAATTGCCATGAGGGTTTTTGGAATCACAGTTGGACTCTGCAAAAGCAAGTGTTTTTAACGACTGAACCATCTCTCTAACCTCATATACATATATTATTTGCATTACTAGTACTTTACTAGATAAAGCAAGTTTACCTAACATACATTAGACCTCCAAAATATACTCAGCTCATTCAGTTTCTTCAGAAACTATTTTAATGCCTTTTAAATTACGGATTGACTTTATATATTTCATTAGTCCCCTGATGAAGATACCAGATGTTTGGTGTGTGTGTGTGTGTGTGTGTGTGCATGTGAACATGAAATGAAAAGTCTTTTTCCAGCTCTGACTATTTTTCTAGAAACAGAATTACTAGATCAAAAGCCGAAATGAGGGGCTGGAGAGATGGCTCAGTGGCTAAGAGTATTTCCTGCTCTTCCAAAGGTTCTGAGTTCAATTCCCAGCAGCCCCATGGTGGTTCACAACCATTTGTAAAGAGATCTGATGCCCTCTTCTGGCCTGCAGGCATACATGCAGACAAAATACTGAGAATATTGTATACATAATAAAAAAATAAATCTTTTAAAAAAAAGCCGAAATGAATATTTTGTGGCATTTTTAAAAGAACTATTTTTGTTACAGAAATTTTATATTTTTTAAAAGAAGACTTCCTCAAAAATCCCACACAGGTCTGAGATTAATATTGTCATGTGTTCTTGGTGGCCTTTTGTGTATACACATAAAAATTTGTACAATCTAGATATTAACCCTCTGCAAGTTAGATAGCTGGAAAAGCTTTCCCCCCCTTTTCCTTAGGTTGCATCTTCACTCAAATCATCCTGTATTTTGCTGGAGAGAGCTTTAGAGTATCCTGAGGCCCCATTTATTAACAGCTGGCCTTAAAGCCAGTGCTACCAGAACATTGTTCAGAAAGTCCTTTCTTGCACCAGTGAGTTCAAGTGGACTCCTGCTTTCTCCCTTATCAGATTCAAGGTATCAGGTCTCATGGTCTTTGATCTGTTTAAAGTTTTGTGCTGAGTGAGAGATAAGGATCTAGGTTAATTCCTCTACATGTAGCTCCCTAGTTTGACCATTGTCATTTGTTGAAAATCTTGTCTTCTCTCGGTGAATACTTTTTCCCCTGAGTATCACAGGTTCATTTAGCAAAAAGTTTCATATGAAAATGTACATGATCCACTTCTACACCACAGTCAAACAGGCCCTTTGGGGATGTATGTGGACTTCTCTGCTGAAAAGCCTTTATTCAGACTCTTCCCAAGGCTAACGACATGCTGATGCTGTTTTCTCTTGCGACCACCATTCTGAAATTCTTCTGTTGCCCATGAGTTGCCATCTCTACAAACTCATCAATCCCAAGATGCATAAAGGAATTCAAGCCCTGTAGTAGTCCTTGTACATGTCTGCCACCATCTAACTGCAATGATAACTTGTTGTCCATAAATTCCTTCAGTTGGGGAAGATGGGCCTTGCTTATAGGGATTTCTCAGCAGAATCAGCACAACCTCAATGTATATTATTAAATACTTTGTCAAAATTCAGTGGCTAGAGGAATGTTGGCTTATGTGTGCAGTTCTATTGCAATGAGTAACTTTTCTGTTTTTATGCCAGTACCATGCTGACTTTATTACTATGTATTACTATATTCTGTAGTGTAACTCAAAGTCTGGGATGCTGATCCTTCCAACAATTTTTGTTAATTGTTTTTGTTTTAGTTTGTTCACTTTTTCTTTTTCTTTTTTAAAAACGTATTGATTTATTTTACATCCTGACTGCTGCTTCCCCTCCCTCCTCTCCCCCAAGCCTACACACCTCCCCTATCCCCACATCACTCGTCTTCTATTTCTGTTCAGAAAAAAGCAGGCCTCCCACGGATATCAATAAAACATGGCATATCAAATTGTAGGAAGACTAAGCACCTTTCTTTGTATTAAGGATGGTCAAAGTAACCCAATATGAGGAGTAGGGTCCCAAAAGCCAACAAAAGAGTGAAAGATGGCCCCTGCTCCCACTGTTAGGAGCAGAAAAAACAAGCTACACAAGTGTAACAAACTTACAAAGGGCCTAGATAAGTTAGAGGCAGGCTCCCTGGTTGTCAGTTCAGTCTCTGTGAGCCTTAGGAGTTCAGGTTAGTTGATTCTGTGGGTTTTCTTGTGATGTCCTTAACCTCTCTGGCATCTAGAATTCTACCTCTCTCTCTCTTCAGCAGGATTAACAAGCTCAACGTACTATTTGGCTGTGGGAGGGGGGGTCTGTTTCCATCAGTTCTTACAGCAATTTCTTTGTTGTCCTGCATTGTTCTGGCTATCTTGAGTCTCTGATGTTTTGATCTAAAACTTAGGATTAGTTTTTTTCTATTTCTGTGAAGTATTAAGTTGAAATTTTGGTGGTGATGTCAATGCATTTGATAGATTGCTTTTGGGAGAATGGCTATTTTCACAATGGTAATCCTGTCGATCCATGACCATGGTAGCCTTCTCCATCTTCTATTATCTTTTCCATTTTTCTTTTCAGTGTCTTCAAGTTGTGCAAGTCTTTAACTTGTTTGGTTAGATTTATTTTAAGACTTATTTATTTTGAGACTCTTGTGAATGCTATTGTTTCTCTAATTTTGTTCTCTGCCCTTTGTATATAAGAAGGCTACTAATTTTTGTACGTCAACTTTGTATCTCTTCTACTTGCTGAATGTAGTTATCAGTTGTAGTTTTCTGGTGGAGTTTTTAAGGTTCTTTATGTACAGAATCTTATAATCTGCAAATAAGGATACTTTAGCTTCTTCCTTTCCTGTGTGTATCAACTTTATCTTCTTTACTTATTTTATTGATCTACCTAACACTTCGAGTACTATGATCAACAGGAGGGGGTAGAATGGACATCTTTGCCTTGTTCTCGGTTTCAGTCATGATTCTCTGAAATGATGTTAATTGTCTTTATTATGTTGAAAAACGTCCCCTGGATTGATACATTCTCCAAGACAAAGTTGTTTAAAAAAAGCAACTCATTAAAAAATGGAGCACAGAACTAACAAAGACTCCTCAGAAGATAAAACACAAATGGCTAAGAAATACTTTTTTGGAAAAAGTATTCAACATTCTCAGCCATCATAGAAATGAAAACTAAAAATACTTTGAGATTTCTTCTTATCACAGTCAGAGGTTAATTTTTAAAATGACAGCAAATGCTGGTATTGATGTGGAGAAACATTTTCGCTGTCGCTGCTGGCCAGAATGCACACTGGCACACTACGGAAACAATGCAGAAGTGCCTCAAAAAACTCAAAGACCTCCCATGTGTGATCCAGCTATACCAACTCCTGGACACAAACAAAAAAGATTCCATATCTTCTTATAGAGATCCTTGCTTATCCTGTTCATTGCAGCTCCACTCAAAGTAGCCAGGAGATGGAAACAGCCTAGTTGTTCATCAGGCTGAATGATGAATGAAGGATGAAAATGTGGTACATTTGCGTAGTGGAATATTGTTCTTTCCAAAAAGAAGAATTATGATAGAACAGGGTAAGAATCATTCTGAGTGAAGTAACTGAGACCTAGAAGACAGGCATTACATTGCAGGATTTTTTTCCTGTCATTTTTGGATGTTAGCTTTAACCCTTCAGATATATGCGTTTCTTTTGTAATACCTATAGGAGTCATGAAATTAGTAAGAGGCTATGGGTGGGAAAGGGAATAAAGATTTTTAAATGAAAAGTAGCATAAGAAGTATTAAAATTCTAGATTTTACCTAGGAAGCAAAATAATAGTAATCCCTTTGATTTTTATAGTATTATTACTTACCAAATAAAACTTGTAATCTCCAATGTATTGTTTGTTCCTTCAATGGTTGTTCACTGTACTTTTTATCAGTACTAAATTATTCAAAATAAGATCATTCAACTTAATGCCATTCTATTTGCTATTACTCCTTCAACTCCTACAATAAAATGTCAAGAAACAACATAACACTGTTGTTTTTACCACAAATTGAATTTTAACTTTTATTGTGGCTTATAATCACTATCATCAAATATCTATCATCATCATCATCTCTATCATTATCACTATCATAAAGATCCTTTATGATATCCTTCTTATCACCATCATCACTACCACTACTACCATCAATACCATCATCACGTCCATCATCATCACAACATCAGCACCAGCACCATTAGTGGCAGCATAACCATCCTTACAACCATCACCACGATCTTCAACCTTAGTTACCATCACCATCATTTCCACCATTACGACTACCACCACTATCATTACCACCATCACCACTATCACCACCTTAATCATCTCATCATTTCTATCAAATCATCATCATGTTCTCTACCGTTGCTATCATCATTGCCACAGTCAGGTACAAAGAGTACCCCATTACCCCCTAAAAGGACAAGCCCCACTGACTTGGTCCAAAATTAAATCTAGGCTCAGCTCATTCTGGACTACAGGAGGATTTTTGGTGGTTAGATAAAATCTAGTATTCCTCAGGAATGTTCAAAATGATTCCTTCCCTTCCTTTCAAAAGGAAATCCCTTCCCTTGCCTCTGGCTGAAAGGACACATGTGGTTCTTTATTGACATAGACCTTGCAGCTATCAACATACTGAAGTCCTGCTGGCCTCAAGGCTCCTTGGTCTTTTCTAAAAAACAGCTGTTAAACATTCCAAAGTCTACACTAGGATCCTGGTTCCTCTCATCTATTCCTAGGCTATTTTAGTTCACAGGCTTTCTGCCTCCACAGATAACTTTTCTCTTTAAAACCTCAAGATTATCCCCACTTCCTCCCAACACCATTAGCTTCTCTCTGCTTTTCATTTTGGTGGTTACTTTACTGTGCTCTTGAATTGTGAATTAACAGCTTCATTGTTAATTGGTTTTCTTTTGCTATACCCGAGGCTGGATTATACATAAATAAAACAGGTTTATTTAGTTCATAGTTTTGTGCACAGGCAGACAAATTTATGGTAGCCTTATCCATTTGACCTTTGGCGTTGCAGAATATTTGATCATACTGTGAACCCCAAGATTGCCTTATTTACTAGAAAAACCTGGTTGTGTTTGTGGTGTGGCTCAGTCCTAGCATACACCTTTAATCCAAGAGCTTTCTGCTTAATGATGTAAACAAAATTAAATAAAAATCAACCTTAGGTCAAGCAGCAGAGCAAGCAATCAGTTGACAGGAAATAAACATAGAGAGATAGAGAGTGAGAGTGAGTAAAAGGGGAGAGAGAGAGAGAGAGAGAGAGAGAGAGAGAGAGGAAGAAGAAGTAGAAGAGAGTGATATCTAGTTGGAGGAGTTTTTCTTTGAGAAGGGTAGGAGAAAACCCTCTTTCTGGGACAATAGGGGAGGAGGAGGAAGCTAGGTGATTTCTTTGCCTCCCTGGGCTAGTATGCTTTTCTCACCACCTGTCTCCTGAATTTTTATTGATAAAAATAGAAAAATAGAGAGTTGAAAACAACACTGGCAAAGATCTCATGGTACATGGCATTTTGATGAGGGGTATATATACAGAGGAAAAATCATATAAGAAAATAAGAAGTAGGAAGGTGGGAGGAGTCAGCTTTACTATTGTATTATAACCAACTCTCAAGAGAACCAACGATGCTCTCACAACTACTACATTACTACATTAATACCTCTGGGAGACACCCAATGACCTAACATTTTACTCTAAGCTACAACTTAAATGCTCTCCTACTTTTGAACATCACAGTACTGAGGACCAAGCTTGCAACTCATGAATCCTGGGTGAGCAGATTTAAGCCCTACCCAAACAATGTAGTAAGTTTATTTTCAGCTCACTGTTACAGCTCTAGTTGGCAGCAAGAACCTGGGAGAGTAAAACCTAAAAATGAGGTGGATTAAAGTCTCATGCAATAGCCAATTTTACTCAGAGCATCAGACAATTTATATTCTGAAAGTTAGGCAAGGTCATATGCATTTAGGTTATGTACGGTCACGAAGAAAACCTGTACTTGGAAACTTTTTGCATAGTAAAAGTGAGTAGTGATGTATAATCTGAAACAAACCCACTGTTAGGTACTATACCTCAGAGGGGCACGAAAGCACATTACGAGAATGAACCCATGTTTTGGTGGAACAGAGGTTACAAGACTTTGTCTTGTTTCCTTGGAATGATCTCACAAGCTCTCAGATTTCTCCTTGCATAGCTTTATTCTTGGATCATGTTCTGAGAATTCACTATCTTAATAATTTTTTTATTTGTTTTTTGGTATTTATCACAATTTGGAATTTTTCTTTGTAACTTGCATACAAACTTATACTGTAAAATAGGTGAGGAATTAAAAACTCCCTTGGCTATCAGTCCATCCCTGGTGTGCTGTGTACTGGCTAGGCAACTGTAGGTCACCATTCAATAAAAGCTACAACAATAATTAATATATCCCTGTTATCAACTCTAACTCCAAACAGAGAAAACATCTAAATTACCTGTGGTGATAACTAT